CTGCCACAAGAGACACCGAGAACGTAAACACAGACGAACACACCAGCTAACCCCTCTACTGTGAACTTTTGTACTTCTTCCATTTTCCTCATGTTTTTTCTTCTTCCAAGTGCTGCTGCACTTCTAACTTGTATTATGGGGTGCACAAAAGTTAGAAATGCAGCAGTGCTTGGAAGAGGAAAAACAAGAGGAAAATGGAAGTACAAAGTTCACAGTAGAGGGGATAGCTGGTGTGTTTGTCTGTGTTTACATTCTCGGTGTCTCTCATGGCAGCTTAATTAAGAAATTATTATACTCAGTGAACAATGTATGTCGATGATGATGATAATAATACAGTGGACCATTAGTTAATGATGCCAATGGATAGCGATAAAATCAGATACCAATACGTTTTTGCCTCAAAATATTGGCTCGGCTAACGATATAAAACTCAGTTAAGGACATTCGTCCAGAACATGTCTGTACAGCCTGAGCCGCACGGCCACTCCAGTATGACTAGTGTGCCATTGTTTACAAGCCATTGCGGACGATTCCACGCGTACATGCGATACATTTTTTGTTATTCCATTGTTTTTAGTGCTTGTAACTGCTAAATAAGCCACCTTGGGTCCAAAGAAAGCTTCTAGTGCCAACCCTGTGGTAAAAAGAGTGAGAAATACTATTGAATTGAAGAAAGAGATAATTGCACAGTACAAAAGTGGAGTGCATGCCTCCGAGCTGGCCAGGTTGTATAACAAACCCCAATCAATCATCGCTACTATCTTGGCTAACAAAGAGGCAATCAAGGAAGCTGTTGTTGCGAAAGGTGCAAATGTGCTTACAAAACAGAAATTGTGAATACTCGAAGATGTGGAGAGACTGTTGTTGGTGTGGATCAACGAGAAACAATTATCAGGAGATAGTGTTTCACAGTCAATTATATGTGAAAAGGCAAGGCAGTTGCATGATGATCTAATTAAGAAAATGCCTGGAACTAGTGCTGATGTTAGTGAATTTAAGGCCAGCAAAGGTTGGTTTGAGAGATTTAAGAATTGTACTCAGGAGGAAAAGGCACTCCTAGGACACAAGCTTATGAAAGACAGGCTAACTCTCATGTTTTGTAGTAATGCTAGTGGGGATTGCAAAGTAAAGCCTTTACTGGTGTATCACTCTGAAACTCCCAGTGTGTTCAAGAAAAAGTGTTGTCAAGCCTAATTTGTGTGTGATGTGGAGGGCAAACAGTAAGGCATGGGTCACTAGGGACATTTTCCTTGTTTGGTTGTATCAAGTGTTTGGCCCCAGTATGAAAAAATACCTCCTGGAAAATAAATTGGAACTCAAGTGCCTCCTGGTATTAGACAATGTTCCGTTCATCCTCCAGACTTGGAAGAGCGAATTATGGGGGAGTTTAGTTTCATAAAAGTTAAGTTTTTGCCTCCTAACACTACTCCTCTCCTCCAGCCCATGGACCAGCAGGTCATTTCAAATTTCAAAAAATTGTACACCAAAGCAGTGTTTCAAAAGTGCATTGAAGTCACCTCAGACACTGAACTGACCCAAAGAGAGTTTTGGAAAGATCACTTCAGTATCCTCAGTTGCATAAACCTTATAGGTAAGGCTTGGGAGGGAGTGACTTGCAGGACTTTGAGCTCTGCTTGGAGACAACTGTGGCCACAATGTGTACAATAGAGGGATTTGATGGGTTTCGGGCTAACCCTGAGGAGCCTATACCAGTTGTGGAATCTACTGTCATTGGGGAAGTCCATGGGGTTGGAGGATAGTGGCAAGGATGTGGAAGAGTTGGTGGAGGACAACGATGAAGAGTTAACCACTGATGAGCTGCAAGAGCATCTGCAACAGCAACAGACCACAGCTGAGGAAATTGCTTCTGATGAGGGGGAAGAGAGATGGAGGAAGTTGCCTTCTTCAATGATTAGGGACATTTGTACAATGTGGACAAAGGTGCAAGCCTTTATGGATGAACATCACCCTGACACAGCTGTTACAAGCCATGCTGGTGACTTTTACAGTGACAATGTTGTGTCCCATTTTAGGGAAATCTTAACCCTTTGACTGTTGCGGGCCCCTTTCTGAAACTCATTCTATGTCGATAAATTTTTGGAAAAAAAAAAAAATTATTTTTTCTTATGAAATGATAGAGAATCTTTTCCCGATGGTAATGACACCAAAAGTACAAAATTTGGTCGAAAACTCATGGAATTACGCTCCCGCGAAGTTAGCAGTCTCGGCGACATATATGCATTGGCGATTTCGCCGACTTGAGCCGAGCTTTTGGCCAATTCCATTGTTCCAGTTGACCAAACCCATAGCTATTTCTTTAGAACTCCATTTGTTTCTATCTGTTGAGTACAAGAAACCCCCCATTTACCGATCTGAACTACCCAATAAAGTGGTCAGAAATTGGCAATTTGGCCAATTTCATGCAAATTAAAAAAGATGCCAACTTCAAAACAGGGTCCAGAATAAACAACGTAGACATTCTTGGCACTAAAATAACATATCCTCTGTTCATTAGTCACTTTTCTAGGCCCCTCTTATATTACTATTGCTTTCTATTTTGATTTTTTATTCAAACAAAAAAATGCAAAATTTACGGTTATGCAGACAACTGCATTATTGTAAAAATGGTATAAATAATATCAGTGCACTAGTGAAAGAATATAAGACTCCCCAGTTGAAGTGTATTGGACATGTGGTGTGATTTGCTTACTCCTGAACATTGGTAAAAATCGAACATTTCCGCTACTTTGAGCTCAATTTCAAGGTCGTTTTCATCAAGAAAGTAATCCAAATCATCTCTATTTCTGTAATATGTTTTCCATTTTATCACCTGAGACCATGAAAACGAGAATACAACGATAAATACTATATGAAAATACACCTCAAATTCGGCGTTTTAATCCAAAAAAAAAAAAAAGTTTTTTTTTTTCATTACGCACTGCGTGCTGCAGGATTTTTTTTATGTGCTGCACACTGACCACACAGACCCATTCTCTCACATGTGGGCCTACCAGCTTTCTCTCGCTTGATTTGAAGCCACTAGAATTTACGCGTATAAATACGTCAAAAACAGTGGTGCGTAAGACGTATATATATGACCAAAACAGTCAAAGGGTTAAAGACACACCAGAAACAGCTCTCTGGACAGATTTTTGGTGTGACAGAGGTCCAGTGACTCAAGCCTAGTGGCATTAAAAAGCAAAGAAGGGAGGTAACCCCAGAAAAGGACTTGCTACCTAAAGTCCTTATGGAAGGGGATTCCCCTTCCAAACAATAATAAACCTCCATCCTCTCCCCTCCTCCTGTCTCATCACTAAGTCTTCAATAAAGGTGTCATTTTATGAATTATTAATGTATGTATTTATTCTGCATGTCTCACTGTTTTCTGTGTAGGAAAATGTATATTTCATGTGAAAAAAATTATTTTTTTTAATACTTTTGGGTGTCTGGAATGGATTAATTGGATTTCCATTATTTCTTATGGGGAAAATTAATTCGGATAACGATAAAATCGGTTACGGACAAGCTCTCTGGAACAGATTAATATCGTTAACCGAAGGTCCACTGTAATAATAATTTATATAATAATAAGAATTAATAATAATAATAATCGCTCTGGAATGCTTTAAATATCAGCTACCAAACCTATATGAAACATGTATGACATTTAACGCACTCCAGAGTGATTATTATATTTTATTATTATATATGAAGCGCATCTGAAGCTTGCTCACAACTCGGATTTTGACCCGCAACTCAAAGCAAAAAATCGATCGAGCGACGGCTCGTAACTCAGAAAACTAGCAAGTTGGGGCATTCGTAAGTCAAGGTACCAGTGTACTGTAATATGTACTGCAAAATTATAATGTTCAAATTTCATTGTTTTAAATACTCAACTGTAACAGTTCATATTATAAATTTCTTAAATTGTTCTATTGTAATACTGTAAATTTTATAAAATAATTCAAGCCTGCAATTATTCTCTACTAAACCTCTCTATAAGACTTATTAAAGCCATACATCATTACCTATTAATACTCAGTTCTCTTGTACTCACTGTAACTCATTTAATGACCATTTAATGTTATAGCCTTATTAATCTTAAGTTAATTTTAAGTTTGCCTGAAATGCTGTGCATACAAGGGGCTTTTGACATGTGCACTCGACTATTATATTCCTTTGTACAACCATGTATCATGTCAAAATATATTTATTATTATTATATGGGAAGACAGCTAAAAATATTTAACTGAATATAAAGATTAATGATACACACAGAGAAAGATGAGACAAGGGAAAAATTCATAAGCATACACTTTGATAGCAACCTAAAATTCAACCCTTGCGTCCAACATATATCTAAGAAAATCTTCAGAACTGTAGAATTTCTTTCAAAATGATACTATTATGCACCACAAACAACATTACTCACTCTGAACTACTTTCTAATCTGTCCCAACTTCACCTACGGTATCTCTGTATGGGAATCTATAACAGTAAATCACCTAAAACCCATTATTTCTCAACAAATATTGAGACTTAGAATAATTGCTCATTCAGGTTCCAGACAACATGCCCCTACTATTCAAAAGCCTAAATTCACTCAACACACAAAACATTCACACTTTCTGCTGCATGTACATATATATACAGTTCAATTCTTCCTGGAGAGCTGCAACAAAACAAGAGACAAAGCACAATAAATAACTATGTCGCTGATATACCACTTGTTTCTCTCGACCCATTTAGAAACTCCACGCAAATAAAAGACTTTAAAATAAGGAATTTCCTACCAGATGATGCAAAAAAGTAAACTTTGCTTCAAAAACATTGTTAGAAAAGGACCTCCTAAATCTAATCTTTTTATTTTTGCTAAGATTATTTATGTGCAATTTATCAATGGCAATCTGTTTTTTTGCAGATAAATTAACTTTCAAACTCATGCATCTAGTGTCACCACTATATTCCAACACTGGTTAAAAACAAAATTTCCATCCAATTCTGCATTAAATATTACAAATGTTATACAAAGATGTTATATAAAATGTTAAAATACTCTTTATTCAATTACACACTGTCTAGTAATATTAAGCAAGTTGAAGACTACCTGAATTGCTCTTCATAACCAGGAGCTTTCCACTCAAAACATGCCACCAATTCTTACAACAACTATGTACAGTACTATACTTTCTGGAAATAAATACTAATTTTAATATGTAATTTAATTTGTATATGGGCTTTGATTTCAGAAGTGGAGACACTTAACATAACTTCTTGTTTTGAAGCCACTATCTCAACTCCCTCTTAAATTCATGGGAAGCCTTCTCTTCCTGCCTCTAAATACCCAGCTGTTGATTTGTGAGACACCATCAAAGACACTGGGACTTCTACTACTTCTTTCCACTTACCTTCTCAAATGTTTTTCCCCCTTTCTTACCTTGTCACTATCTGCACCTCCTGTACTTTCATCTCTCTCTCTCTCTCTCTTTTCTTCTTCATCACCTGGATGTCTTGATGCATCCTGTGCTTTGCTGTCACCTTCTGATGTCTTGAGTTTCCATGCTTCTTCTGTTTACATTTACTTAAACTTTTCACATCAATCACATAGAGGAATATAAAGAAAATACAGGGATAATTGAAGAGCACTCTATTTGCTGATTAACCTTATATTGTCTGTAAATGTTGGTCTCTAAGAAACTAAACATTATCATACAATTCATCTTCCAGTCTTTATCTATGCTCTCTTAAATTTTGTTTCCCAGTGACTCACACAATGGAAGTTTGCGTTGTGTGTACACCGATATTCTGCTTAATAGATTTTATGTTCAGATGTCACTACACTATACGGCAGCCTATATAATGTTCCTTAATACCTCTCTCCTCATTGCTCTTTGTTTTAAGAGATCTGCAGATCTTAAGCCTCATCATTACCTGAACCACTCCTGCTGTTATGGAATTTCAGTTGCAATCATTTCCTCTAGGGCTGATCTCATTGCAACTTTGAGAATTTTGCCACCCATTTGCCTTGAAATGTCTTAAGAATGAGGGCTTTGACTTTATACTCATTTCAGTACTTAGGGCTCCATTTGCCTATTTCCCAATGCTCTGGACTTTGGCTTAACAATCGAAAATTATCTTTATGATTGTGATCACTTGCCCATTGTTATCACCTCTCAGTCCTATGCCCATCCATCTTGCCACTTCAGGTGGCAATTAGTGTGTACAGTCTGAAGGGAAGCATACATGCAAGTCTGCTCTTCCTTTCCCTACTAATACTTCCTATTTTCATGAGTTGTTTAAGTCAAGTGATTCTTAGGCTGGAGGGGAATGGGTATCACATGGCTGGCTATAATAAGTTATAAATGTTTCAGAAAGTCAAGGAAATCTAAAATGAATAAAACTTTTATTATTCATCTTGATTTAGCAGGAAAGAATTTCCCTTCTTTCTTGTCATTTTTGAGATGTAATGCCAATACCATTTTAAAATTCATGTACTATGGTGCTAGTTGCTTTTAAGTGATAAGCTCAGATTTCATGGATTCAGTTCCTGTGTGACATGGGTTCAGTTTCCGTCTGCACACTGGGCTGAGTTGCTGAATTCTCGTGTCCCACACAATTGCATTCCTCATCACTTTCTAAATGATATTTACACAGAATGATCTCAATGTGCCATGAGATATCATCAGAGAAACATGGTGTCTCTGAGGTATATACTGCACATGACTCAAGCACAAATACTCCAAAACCGGTGTAACTATTTTGCTCAACAATCATTTCTTTGTGTGTGAAATATCTGTACATTTACATTATTTTCCTATTAATAGATATCATTGTTAATTATTATTATTGTGCATCCCCTTTCTTTACATATAACTATAATTCTGTCATTTTTCAGTGCTAAACTGGTGTGTTATCATCAGTTTGTGTTTAATATAGATGCATGTGTACATTTAAATAAATGTACATTGAGGGAAAACCCTGAAGGGGGTTCAAGGGGATTCTGAGGATTGTTCAAGGAGGTAATGGAGTGAAAAATATTGAAAAACCACTGTTTTAGTCAGACATCTTGGGAAAATATTTTCACAAATGCCTAAAATAAACCAATAAATGTTCTCTTTTTTTTAAATTAATACAAATAAACTGGTGTTAAAAACTGGTTAACCCTTAAACGGTCCAAACGTATATATACGTTCACCTGCGCAGTGCCCCGAATATTTTGAGAAAAAATTTTTTTTATAGGGAAAAAGTGCATGTGGTACCCAGGAATCTCCAATTTTTTTCATATGGCACACACTGAGTATGCACACCCATTCTCTCATGTCTAGGCAACTCAGGCCTATCGTGCCAATGTTGAATGAATGACAAATGAAACGTACATATACGTTTGGGGTCCTACACGAGAGAATATATATATACGTTTGGACCGCTTAAGGGTTAAATGTAATGTCATATACACTCAAACCTGGGTATTTTTGGTGCCAACTTTTTTCTTTCAATACTTATGTGCCATTATAGTCAAGGGAAAGAGATGTGGTGATGCCACTTGCTTGACCTGGGTATGAATTCTCATGACACCTCATGTTGCATGTGAGTTTGGAGGATGTGGAAGAGCTGGTGGAGGACCACAATGAAGAGCTAACCACTGAGGAGCTGCAAGAGCTTCAGCAGGAACAGCAACAGATCGCAGCTCAGAATCTTGCTGCAGAGGAGGAGGAAGAGAGATGGAAGAAGGTACCTTCTTCAGAAATTAAGGAGATTTTTGAAATGTGGGGTAGGATGGAAAGATTTATGGAGAAACATCACCCTGAGAAGGATGTTGCAAGCCATATCGGCAACTTGTACAGTGATAGAGTCTTGGCCTGTTTTAGGGAAGTTTTAAAGAGACGCCAGAAACAGAGCTCTCTGGACACTTTTTTGTGAGACAGGACTCAAGTGACTCTCAAGCTGGTCCTAGTGGCATTAAGAAACAGAGAAGAGAAGTAACCCCAGAAAAGGACTTGGTACCTGAGGTGTTGATGGAAGGGGATTTCCCTTCCGAACAGTAACTAATCCAATCTCTCTCCTCCTCCAGTCTTCCATACACTAAGAAGAATTGCCAATAAAGGTAAGTGTTATGCTGTTAATGTTTCATTCATCATGTCCCATTGTATTGTTTATGTACTACATCTATATTTCATGTAAAAAATTTCTTTGTTTTAATACTTCTGGGTGTCAGGAACGGATTAATTGTATTTACATTATGTATTTCTTATGTGGAAAATTTATTAAAAAATCGTCTATTTCGATAATCGTCGCACTTCCAGGAACAGATTAACAACGATAAACGAGGGACCACTGTACTCAGAATGGATACATGCAAGTATATGAACTCATATTAATCCCTTAACTGTCCAAACATAGATGTAGATCAATGCTTTATTTTTCCTGCCTTCAAATTTGGCACGAGAGGCCTGAGCAGCCTTCTTCAGAAATTAAGGAGATTTTTGAAATGTGGGGTAGGATGGAAAGATTTATGGAGAAACATCACCCTGAGAAGGATGTTGCAAGCCATATCGGCAACTTGTACAGTGACAGTTTAAGGGTTAAAATAGAGGCAGTACAGCAGCAAGGAGCTGCTGGCACCAGCTAACAGTAGAGTATATAAGTTAAGGATACACAGGTGAGGTGCACTGCTGCTCTATAGCTCATTACTCCATTTACATACAGCCTAAAGATACATCCTGTACAGATAATAAATACACATAGATAACGTGGATATATAATTCAGTAGTTTTCCTTGTACAACAGCAGCAGAAAAAATTCTAAATCCTAATTTTATTTACTGTATTGTACTGTATACTACATTATTATGCTTTGAAGACTGAAAAAATCTTTGTGTATGATTCTGTGAAGCACAATGACAATAATAATTACTAAAAATGATAATGATGATAATATTTCCTCAAGAACACACATTAGTTGCAACAGCAGGTTAATACTGTATACAGAAAAAAAAAAAATAGCTATGTACAGTATACATTTTGGATACATTAAATCAGGCTGTTGCAATATTTACAGAGCACTTTGACTATGTAGGTCACTCAACGCTCAAACCAATGAAAAAATGATACACGGTATAACACCCAATAAAAATGATAAAAACTAACAAATCATTAAAGCTACAGACATGAAGAAAATGCACAGCACAAATAAATACTATCATACAAAATTAAAGTAATCAGCACAATTTAAAATAACATCTAATTATTAATGTCGAGATTTCTGTAAAAGTTTCCCAAGAATCCAAAAGGCACCCTGATAATTATAAAACCATGATGAAGGCAGAGGGGCCCAAGCCATAGATCTACACCTTGTCCACAGGGTCCAAGAATTTAAAAAAAAAAAAAAAAAAAAATTCTTATGAAATGGTAGAGAATCTTTTTCTAAAGGTAATAAAACAAAAAGTACAAAATTTGATAGAAAACTGACGAAATTACACTATTGCGAATTTGACTGTCAGAGATATTTATGCATCAGTGATTCTGCCCACTTTGACCCCCATTTTAGGCCAATTACAGTATTCCAATCAACCAAATTCTTAGCTATTTTGCTAGTATCACTTCTATTTTATCGACTGAGCACAAGAAACTGCCCAGTCAACTATTTCAATTACCCAATAAAGTGATCAGAAATTGGTAATTTGGCCAATTTCACACAAAGTTCAAAAATATTCCAATTTCAAAATAGAGTCCAGAATAAACAATGCAGGCATTCCTGGCACTAAAATAACATTTCCTCTGCTTATCAGTTACATTTCCAGGCTTTACAGATGAATCCCATTTTAATTTTTTATTTACATAAAGAATTTTTATTCACACCAAAAAATAGAAGTTTTACTGTTATGCAATATTGTAATAATTGTATAAATAATATCAGTGCATTCGTGAATATATATTAGATCCACCAGTTGACCTGTATTGGACGCGGGATGTGATTTGTTTACTCTTAACCCATTCAGGGTCCAGAGGCCAAATTTCTAAGTGTGCACCAGTGTCCAAGAATTTTCAGAAATATTGTAATTTTGTTATTTTTTCTTATGAAATGGTAGAGAATCTTTTACTGAAGGTAATAAAACAAAAAGTACGAAATTTGATGGAAAATTGACGAAATTATGCTCTCGCGAATTTTGATGTGTCAGTGATATTTACGCACTGGCGATTTTGCCGACTTTGACTCCCAAATTATTAGCTATTTCACTAGTATTACTTCTATTCTATCAACTGAGCACAAGAAATTGCCAACTCAACTCTTTTAACTACAGAATAAAGTGATTGAAAATTGATAATTTGACCAATTTAGTGCAAAGTTCCAAATATTCCAAATTCAAAATAGGGTCCAGAATAAACACTGCAGGCATTCCTGGCACTAAACTAACTTTACCTCTGTTCATCAGTTACGTTTTCAGGCTTTACAAATGAATTAATTCCATTTTGATTTTTAAATTCACATAATGAATTTTTATTCAAACCAAAAAATAGAAGATTTACTGTCATGCAATATTGTAATAATTGCATAAATAATATCAGCACATTTGTGAAAGTATATCAGACCCACCAACAGGCGTGTATTAGACATGTGAGGTCATTTGTTTACTCTTGAACATTGGCAAAAATTTAACATTTTTGCTACTTTGAGCTCAGTTTCAAACCATTTTTGGTACTAAAACCAATCTTCCATTCTATCAAATAAGACCAAGAAATTGCAAATACAACTGTAAAAAACATATGAAAAAACACTGTGAAGTTGTTGTTTTAATGGAAAATTACGGTCTCAGTTTTCTTTCTCTCATTATGCACTGTGTGCTGCAGGATTTGTTTTATGTGGTGCACACATACCACATAGATGTATTCTCTCATATCTAGGCCCAAATTTACCGCTCACAGCTTATCAGAGTGAGCTGAGCGCATGGCGTAGATCTACGGTTTGGACCCTCAACGTAAATCGGTAGATCTACTGCACAGACCCTGAAAGGGTTAAACATATGGCAAAAATCGAACATTTCTGCTACTTTGACCTCAATTTCAAGCTATTTTCAGTATTAAAACCAAAAATCATCTCTATTTCTGTAATATATCTTCCATTCTATCAAATGAGACCAAGAAACCACAAATACAACTATAAAAACCATATGAAAATACGTGTACACTGCAAACTCAGTGTTTTAATCCAAAAAAGTAGCAGTTTTTTTCATTATGCGCTGCGTTCAGCAAGATTTGTATTATGTGGTGCACACTTAGCACATAGATCCATTCTCTCATATCTTGGCCCAAATTTATTGCTTGGACCCTATGGACAAGGCATAGATATATGGCTTGGACCCTCGAGGGATTAAAATGAGTTCCACAGTAAGTGGCAGTACATCACAAGCTACACTGAGAGAGGGCAGGAGCACCTGTGAACAGGTAGCTATGGATGGGATTTGTCCCCCCTTCCCTATGCTAAATCAAGAGAGATCACCTCAAAGCAATGAAGGAGGAGGAGGAGGAGGAGGGCTAAATGCCCACACCTTGCAGAACCCTGTATAACTTGCTCCTAGTTTGTAGAGCCCACCACTTCCCAAGGACATACCTATGAGTGTCCCATGAAGTCACTGTGATGCAAAAATTTATTATAATGTGATCTCATTACAACTGCCTTTGCTTCAGTATCTGCTGAAGCAAAGGCTGCTGTACCTAGTTCGTTGCCTGGGACACAAACGTGGCCCGGGCACAAACTCCACAAACTTGTGATGTGCATGGAGATGACCTAACTGCTCCTGGATCTTCTGAACCACAAGCACTGGGTGGCCCAAAAAGAAAACACATTCACCACCACTCATTCAACAGTGGTCCTATCAAAAGTGTGCAGATATCACAATTCAAATGATCCTCCAAACTGCAACATCCCCACCCTTCTTTTAAAGTGCAGGCACTGTATTTTCTACCTTCAAGACCTGAGTCTAAATAACTGGTAACACTGAATCATTTCATAAATTTTACCTTGTTCACACTCAACATATCAAGAAATAAAAACCACTCATTATCAATTCGCTCCTATCTAACATGCTCACATAAGCCTGCTGGATGCTCAAGTCTCTTGCTCACTGTTAACCCTTAAACTGTCCAAACATAGATCTACGTTTTTTTAACATTTGAAAGTACGTAAAAAACGTAGATCTTTTTTTTTTTTTACATTTGAAAACATGTAAAAATACTTTGATGTACTTTTTTTTTGTTATATTTGAAAATATGTAAAAAAAAAGTAGATCTACTTTTGGAGCATTACGCATATGAACGTAGATCTGCTTGGACAGTTTAAGGGTTAATGGCCACATTCAGGGCAGAAGAAATATCAGAGCTGAAACAGATATAGAAATCATTTACAGCCTATATAGAACCAATAAAGCATTTAAATTACAAGATATGGGAAGAAGTGGGGGAAAAAAAAAAAAAAAGAGTGTTGTGGGAACAAGGGAACACTGTATCAATGTCTGTGTCCTCAGATTATTCATCATCTTTTAAGAAGGTATTGGAAACACTGCTGGGACAAGTGTAGAAGTTTTCAAGAGGATACTGGACAAATATCCTCAAATATCCCCTGGTCACAGACCGGGCCGTGGGGGCGTTGACCCCCGGAACTCTCTCCAGGTAAACTCCAAGTAAATGCCAGATCAACCAGGCT